ATTACAAATAAAACATTTTGACATCAGTAAAAGTAGATCTTCACACAAATATTTTAAAAGTAGGTCATCAGTTTATATTGACATCTGGAAAATATTTCAATAGTGGGTCATCAGTTCTGTCGTAAATAGTAAGTCGTGTTTTTTTTAACATCTCGCTAACATACAAAAATTTTAAAAAACTGTCCTAGTCAGGCTATCATGACACAGCTTCAGTGTCAATGTCTGACAGTCTGTCCTATTCAAGATATCACAGCTTCAGTTCTTTCAGTTATGTCATCCATCTCTGTGTGTCTGACACAATCGGTTTCAGTCAACCTATTACAGCTTCAGTTCTATCATTGTCAAGCTATCACAGCTTCAGTTCTATCGTCTATGTCTGACACAGTCTGTCCTAGTCAAGCTATCACAGCTTTAGTTCTTTCATCTCTGTCCATGCCTGACATGATCTGTCCTAGTCAAGCTATCACAGCTTTAGTTCTTTCATCTCTGTCCATGCCTGACACAATCTGTCCTAGTCAAGCTATCACAGCTTTAGTTCTCTCATCTCTGTCCATGTCTGATTCAATCTGTCCCAGTCAAGCTATCACAGCTTTAGTTCTTTCATCTCTGTCCATGCCTAACACAATCTGTCCTAGTCAAGCTATCACAGCTTCAGTTGTTTCATCTCTGTCCATGTCTCACACAATCTGTCCTAGTCAAGCTATCACAGCTTTATTTCTGTCATTTGTTTATGTCTGACACAATCTGATCACAGCTTTAGTTCTTTCATCTCTGTCTATGTCTAACACGAGCTGTTACAAGAAAAACAAATTGCACCAGTACGTTTGAAGTAAAGGAAGCTGTTGGATCAAAATAGCTGTGCCAAATCTGTCTGCATATCGAAGTGTCTCTACTAGACTAGCTGCCAGCCAAAGGCCTGCTCTGCTCGGCAGTATCATTGAGTGTTCAGGTTGCATTTCCTTTTTCAAGGATAAAGCCACATTTCTCCACAGTCTTCTCCTCCTCACAAAGCCGTTGGCATAATGTGGTATGTTAGGTTTGGTACAAGCCTCTCAACTTTCAGCTTTAACAAAGACAATATTTTACTAACTATTGTTATACGGTACGTCACTCATACATGACCAAGACATGACTTCCTTTCTAATGATAGCTGGTCTACATGACATGTCAGAAATGTAAGGACAAGGGTTGAACTTATGCTAAGAATGGCTGCACCAGCATCTGAAACTATAATCTGCATAGTATAAAGTAAATATTGCATGTTTATATGTAAAGACTGCCGGCGTAATGCTGACCACATTACCCACTAAGTTCCGACTGGTCTGTAAAAATATGGGAGCTTTTCCCATATGCCCAATACGCCTAAGGGTGTGAAAGGGAATCTTTACTTTACTTTTTACTATGTTACAGTTCGAGTTGGACATAAATACTACAGAAGGAATCTTATTTGTTCTTCACGTGATCACTATGACAGTATACTGATGGTAAAAACTAAAACTTGTGATGTACCTGTGCTGTCAATGATACACAGAAACTTTCTGAGAAAGATGACAACCAAAAAATTGTTGCAATATAATCATGTTTACGGTTTATATCTCCATTATTTAAATCTACAAGCTGAAAACAAATGTTGCATTTTCTTCTAATCTATTATCTATGTTTAGCTTGATTATTAATTGTCCATGATTCACAGCAATATGTTAAAACTGGCTCCATAATTCATTTCCTAACTTTCTATGACTTGGATTTATTGCATAAGATGTTCTTTATTTTATAAACTTTTCGTATTCGCTTCGGGGCCGAATAGTGGACCGAATGACTATTCGGTATTCGGCCGAATAGTTGCTGTCGGGCCGAATACGAATAGTGGTTACATTACATTCATTTCTGCGTACACTGCAATGGACTGAAATAACTCTCTCATTAACACAGTAATTGCTGTTGCCAAAGTTTGTAGTAGCGGTGAAAACTGCGACCAGGTTGCGTGGTACAGAAGCAGGCAAGGTATTGCCTTGAACGAGGCATTACTGCAAAGGGTCTCAAACTGGGTGCGTATGCCGGGGCGAAAATCAAGAAAAGTCAGCTAGACATTATGACATTATTGAAGAAGACATAAAGATACTTTCCTCGCCACTGTCGAAAAGAGCACAGGGGACAGGCTATAACTGCATTTTATAAAATGAAGAACATCTTATGCAATATATCTTTGCCATTGAATGTTAGAAAAATAATTCTTGCTTGCTACTATTTTTCTTCTATTCTTCCAGTTTTAAATTGTGGTAAATCCTGGACAATCGGTAGGCAGGTCAAAGAATTTCTCTAGGCTTTAGAGATGTAGTTTTACAGAACAATGCTTAAAATACCTTAAATAAAAAAAAAAACCAATAGGTTTTGAAAGAGGCGGGAGTCCGAAGACAACTAATCACAGACATCAGAAGGAGACAGTCATAATTATTCGGCCATGTTATGAGAAGAGGGAAAATGGAACATGTGGTGACCGCTAGAAAGATCTGTGGAAGGAGGGACAGAGGAAAACAACGAGAGAAGATTCTTGACAGTCTTGTTGCTTGGCTTGGAGGTGTGTCAGCACACGAACTGATGCATGCTGCAGGAGATCGTAGATTGTGGAGAGACGTTTGCGCACGTCAGTCGGCAAGACACCTGATGATGATGATACACTATTCGTATTCGGACGAATAGTTGGTCGCACTATTCGTATTCGGCCGAATAGTGAAAATCACTATTCGGTACAGCCCTAATATATACAAACAAATTTATTATACAGCATTGATAAAATGTAGTTTATTGTACAGTCTTCTTTTTCTTCCGCTTCATCATTTTCTATTATTCAGCTTCAGGGGTCGAGGGAAACGATTCTGCTTCTTGTCCTTGTCCTCCCCCCCCCCCCCCCCCGGGCCATAGACACATCGTGCTGTTGTAGAGTTTCTCTGATCTTATCTTTCCATTTTATTCTTGGTCTACCTTGTGCTCTACGTCCTTCTCCTTTTGTGATGCATGCCCAGAAGGGTATTCCCTCTCAAGGTATTTGCTCTTACTGGGCAAACCATTTGACTTGCTGTGTTTGTGTGTAGTTAATTCGTTCCATGCTTTTTTCTTTTGTAACCTTATTTATGATTTCACCTCTTCTGGTCACTTTCGAAGGTCTCTTCAGATGCCTCTTTTCCATGTTTGCTAATTTTCTGTTATGGTTTGTTGTGAATGACCACGTCTGGCACTGGTAGCATAGAGTGGGAATAGATATGCTTCGTATGAGATGTCTCTTTGTGCTGGCTAGGACTGTCTTATTCTTTAAGAGGGTGACTAGCTGTCGAAATACTTTTTATTTTCCTTTACTGCATCTGATGTTATTTTCTCCAACAATTTTTCATATCTTTGATGAGCGTTGTTCCGAGGTATCTAAAAGGTGATGCCTCTTTAATACCTTTGCACTCTGCTGCTATATTTAGTTTCTTTCTGCTTCTTTCTTTCTGTTGCCATTACTTCTGTATTTTCAGTGTTCATTCTCATATTATTATTTTAAAATTCTTCATTAATAGATGTAGATGTGGTTGCAATGTCATATCTGTGTATACTATCAAAGCCTGGTTTTTTTTTAAAAACAGTAAGTATAAGAAATAATTTTTTTTTTTTTTTACAGTAACAATAAGAAATAAATTTAATGTACAACATCTAACAAACCTTTTGGTCAGAAAGAACAGCAGTGGAACGTAAACTCTATGGACCACTGAATGAACTAACAACGACAGTGAAATTTATACAAGAGACAAAACTGCTTATATATAGATAACTTATTTCAGGCGAACGAAAGGAGAAGAAGAAAATGTACAACACCGAAAAGAAAAGCATTTTGAACATTAGCGACAAGAAATAAATTTATATTACTGTAATGACAAAAATATATTTTAACCGGATACATTTCAGGGTCCTGTTTAACATTT